AGCAGGAATCCATAAAAATGCATCCAACTGGCCTCATGGTTACTTTACATATGTGTTTTACTGACGCACAGATACTATAGAAATGGGGAGAACTTGTATTTTCTGTACTTGTGTTATACTTTCATGTCTGAGCAACTTCTCTCCGAAGGAATGCATAATCATTCAGTACAGTTGACAAATCCACAATGACAACTGTAATTTGCTCTCAAGTCTTTGAGCTTTAGGAATATGCCTTAAGTCTAATTGGGTGTCAATTGCTTTTCTTCCCTGAGAGAAATCTGTTTGTAAACGCTTCACTCCTCAAGATGTACGTTGCTGCTGCATATGACTGCTCTCACATGCTAACCTTCGATTTTGTTTTAATTTAAAACATCACTCAGATTAAAAGAATGTATGTTGGCAAGTGACTCAAAGTAATTTTTAAGCAATTTTTAAACAAAAAGGAGCCTTGAGTCAATATAACAGAGTCTACTAAGACTTGTTCACCTAGGTCTAGACAACCCTCTCTGTATATACTCATCTTTGGATTAAATTGCTTGTTGATTTAAGCTAAATTGAAATAAGCCATGTGAGGGTATATAAAAAACATGAGGGGGTCAGCTTTAAAAATCACACAAAGTTTAAATGAACACATCTAGATGTGCTTCAAAGAAAGGCTCATTTGTGCTTTTTTGTAACACAATTCTGTTGCTGAAAATGTTACAATAAAAATTGTATATAAAATACACAGTAAATAAATTGCTTACAAAAATGTATAAAATACTGTAAGCATAACCTTAGCACATGGACAGAAAACCACACCTTTTATTGACTTCAAAATAAATTTTAATTGCTATAGATTGTTAAGCATGGTGGACCACAGTATAATCTGTAGTAAAAACCAACAGCAATGATGAGCTTCATAATATGCCTGGGATAGCTCTCAGAGAAAACATAACCCAAGAACCACTAAAGAATCCATATGGACAAATCTGTTATCCGTGAACCTCAGAAAAACCATTTAAACTCGTAGCCTTTCCCCTAAATACTACCTCCACTGAAAACTTAGCTTTTAAGAACAGACTTTGGAAGGAAAGGAACAAGAAACCACTTAAAACCAAGCCCTTACGCAGAAACTTTGGAAGGAAAGGAACAAGAAAAGGTTTCTGAAGCACCACACACCACTGTTCTCCGTAACCTCAGCATAAAAAATGAAAGGAAGCTTGCTAAGAACTTTTTCTAGACAGTGTATTCCTTTCTTCCTGCAAAAATGTGAAATAATTGCTCTGTTAAAGCTCTGCTGGGTTATCTGACGGGTAACTTTGGCCAGGTGTCAGCTGGCTCTGTTGCTAACAAACAGTAAGTATATTGAGTAAGCCACAGACATCAAGCAAAACCACCAAGTACTATTTTCTGTGTAGATCCTTTTAATGGTGGCATACGTTTGCCCCTGTATGAACAGGGATATATAGGTAACCAAAAAGCAACATAAATCTCTGACTAACACAGCAGCAATGGGGAAGTGAAACAAGTATCTGTTCTGTTTTCCACAAAATTTTTTTAATTTTTTTTTTTTCTTAGTAAGACTCCAACTCTGCTAGAAGTTAAAGCCCAGCTACCCTGGACAGGAGAAGAAGCCACCCACACCTCACCCCATCCATGGCATGGACGTGCCACGGGGTCAGAACATCTCAGCTTCACTTCAGGCTGAATGGAAAACTGAGGCCAAGAAACCCTCTGGGAATGAAGGCAGGTAGCAGCCAAGGAGGAGGTGGAATAGTTCTGGTTTAACCCTTATTTTCTCCTTAATCCCTGGTCTTGCAGCAGTTCTTCAAAGGCCTATTTTAAAACAGCTTAATTCAAAGTATTCATATTTAACGTATTTAAAGTAATTTTGCAAACACCAAGAGCTCTCCAGAGACCAAATAATGTGGATGCCTAACAAGGATGATCTAATAAGGAGAAGCTGAACCATGCTCTGTGTGCAGAGGAATTCTTCAGTGTGACTGCTAAGACAAAGCATTGTATAGTAACAGTTTGTTACAGCAAACTTATCAGGAAAATGATCTGATTAATTTTAAATTGTTATTTTCTGTTTCAGATTTTCCCCTTTCCCTTACTCTCAAGGAGCTGCCAGAAAAAATAAGTCGTTAAAATAAACGATCAAGAATGTTAACGTTTTCAATAATCCTTTTATTGCAAAACCAATGTGCTATGAGCAAGTTTTAGTGCTCTTCTACAATATTCATCAATTTGCTCAAAGAGGAAAGCTACGCTGGCCCAGCTGGTGGTCTTCTTAAGAGTACCAAGAGAGAAAAAAAATATGTTTCATCCAAATGCTCAGCCAGAAAGAATTTCTAAAAAATAGAGTTAGGGAGACAGGATCAGCAAGAGAACGATTATTTTGCTGAATGCCTAAATAATTTGAAAATGTGTTGTTAGTGGTGGTACAAGCCTTCAACAAGAATCGTGTTACCTAAGGAGTGGGTGGCCCCTTCCCATAACTGAGGTGGCACTCACCAGTGGGAAAGAGGGTTTCAGACCCTTGGAAGCTGCCAGGTCTTTTCTTTTCTCACACAGTCTTACACTGCCTAGCAAAGCTGCCCCTAACCCACAGCTCTGTGTCGTTTACAACAGCCCTGCATGAGATTCCTCCTCCTTGCACAAGAAAATGAGGCAAAGGGTAAATCCTTCACTGCAAAACTTGTTTGAGGGATAATAAAAGAACTGCTTTTACCAAGAGGCAACCCCCTTTAATTTGGACTCGACCCCAACCAATACTGAATGTTCAACCATTACAAAAAGCACTAGGACTTCAAGTGCTGCGAGATGAGTGATGCCACCTTTCCAAAATTCTTCTCTCCATGTTTCTGCCCTATTCTCATTTCAGCCTCTGAACCAGAAGTCTGCCTG